AGTCCATCGTGTATATGTACCACTTTTTCTTTATCCAGTCCACTTTCAGTGGGCAGTACAGTTGATTCCATGTTTTCGCTATCGTGTGTGCAGGTATCTTTTTCATAGAGTGATTTGAGTTCCTCTGGGTATATTCCCAAGAGAGGAATTTCTAGGTTCTATGGAAGGTCGGTTCCTAAGTCTTTTAGAAATCACCACAGTTTTCCAGAGGTTGTACTAGTTTACACTCTCACCAACAGTATAGAAATGTTCTCTCTCCCACTTTATGACCGCTGCTTGAGGTCTCAGGTGTGAGAACTTCTGACAGTGAGGGTACTAAAAATAAGTGACTGACAGCCCCACCTGAAAGTAGTTGCATAAAGGAAACTACATTCCAGATTCGATCTATCCTTGGTATTCTCTAAAATAGGTTTTTCGTGTCATATCTCTTTTGCCCTATAATCATCCTTCTCTATAACTATCCTCTCTTCTGCTAGACAGGAGCCTTCACATTTGCTAAGGTGTTAGAAATAAATTTGTGCTCTAATTCTTTCATCACTATAGAAAGCTATGTTAGCCGGGCTCGGTGGCTCAGCCTGTAATCCCGCACCTTTGGGAGGCAGAGGTGAGTGGATTGCCTGAGCCCGCGGGTTCGAGACCCGCCTGGGCAGCGAGACCTCATCTCTACAACAAATCAAAAAATCAGCCGGGTGTGGTAGCGCATGCCTGTAATTCCGGCCACTCAGAAGGCTGAGGCGGAAGGATTGCTGGAGCCCAGCAGGTCGAGCCAGGAGCGGCCACTGCACTCCAGTCTGGGCGACAGAGTGAGACTCCAACCCCCCCCCCCCCAAAAAAAAGAAAGCTATAATTTTTGTTAAAAAACTAATTTGACACTGTTTTAAGGTAAAATTTTCAAAGCTCAGACTAAACTGGGTGACACATTTATATCATTTAATCACCTCTATATGCTTAGGCATGTTTTGTTAACCTGTTCCACAGATGAGAAGTTCCTATTTCAAGCAAAATGCAATCATATGTGTATTGATGTCTGCAACTTCCTTGGAAATGCAACAAAAAATAAGATGAGTGAATGTCTGGGTCAAAGGATAAGTATGTGCCAAAGCAAGTACAGCAAAATGTTAGCAACTGTCGCACCTGGGAGGTGGCTATATGGATGTTGACTAAGAAATTGTTTCAACTTTTCTATATTTGAAATGTGTCACAATAAACTGTTTGAGAAAATTGAATCATATTTGAAACCGGTTTTATTTATTTTTTAGTTGTGGCATACATGAGGATTTGCTACATGAGTAAGTTGCACACAGTGAGGAAACCTGTTCTAAATGGCAAGGGAGAAACATCCAAATCTCACAGGATCATTCTGCAAAATCCACTAAGCAAGACTTTGCCATTTGCATTTGTTAAGATGACTATAACCGCTTTGCTTCACCTGTCTACCTCCAGAAAGGTCCAAAAAATTTATACTCTTATTAAGAAAAGGTGGGTGAAAGGTTTGGTTTTTTGTTTGTTTAAGTTGGAGTCTCACTCTGTCACCCAGGCTGGTGTGCCATGGAACACTCACAGCCACCCCAGCGTCGACCTGCTGAGCTCCAGAGACCCTTCTGCCTCAGCCTTCCAAGCAGCCAGAACTACAGGTGCGTGTTACCACGCCCAGCTAATTTTTAAATTCTTATTGTAGAGATGAGGTCTCGCCAAGTTGTCTGGGATGGTCTAGAACTCGCGGGCTCAGGCAATTCACTTGCCTCGGCCTCCCAAAGTGCTGGGATTACAGGCTGACCACCAAGCCAGGTCAAGAATTCTGTATAGTGGGACAAACCCCCTGGGGTCCCCTCCCACCATGGGAGCTTTCCTGTCTTCTCAATAAATCTTGCTTTCTCAAAAAAAAAGAAAGAAAAGGAAATAATTCTGTATAGTGAAAGTAAGCTCCTTTGGCTGAATTTTGAAAAGTAAAAACTGAAATTACTTCTGTAACATCGGACACTGTTTCACCTCCTTCCCTAACCAGAATAACTTTATTTTCAATACAGATTTCCTGAAAGGATATACAACACACATTCCTTTGGATTACTTAATCATTCTTTTTGACAATGTCTTTTCATTGTGATTCTACCTAGGATTAATTTTTTTAAATAAATGAAAATAAAAATGATGAGCACATTGGAAAATTTGTTTATCCACTCTATTAATAGTGTGCATATGAAGTACATGCTGTGTCATTAGCCTTTCAACACAAATGACTTTCTAAAGTGGCATGTGCAAGGTATGTTTATGTTTGATATTCTATTAATTTTTTGGTAGTTACTCAAAACATACCATCCTCTGCATTTCATAAAGAGAGGAAAATAAGTAACTCCAAGAAATTGCTCAGTTACTAGTGGATCATAATGACTTACTAAACAAACACACATTGAATACCTACTAAGGCACAATCTTAATCTGAGGAACGAGAAGAGGACTGAGACACTGTCCTTGACTTCATGAAGTTGATGGTTGGCAAAGAAGAACTACAAATGAACACACTAGTACTCAAGGTGGTCGTAAGAACATACAGAGCAATACTGTAAGTAAGAGGAAACACCAAAGTCATCCTAGCAACTCTGGGCTTCTCTGGAAAGGCTTGCTGAGTATGGCCCTAGAAGCTGCAGTGGCCTGGGCAGCAGAGAGCGGGAGATGGTATGTCGAGCCCAGAGCAGAAGCAATTTGGTGGTTGGTGCTAGAGAGAAAGCTCCTGGTAAGTAGTGGAGAGAGATGAGGCCAGAGACGCAGGCTGTGCCACACCATGAGTGACCTTGGGGGATAGGACAAGAATCCTGGACTCGCCCTGGGCCTCCAAAGGAGTTCTGAAGGGAGTGGCATTTTCAGACTGTACTTTAGCTAGAATTTCCTGGTCCCTGACGCATGTGTGGGAGACATGATGACCAGCTACCGGGGTGACAAGATAAGGACCTGAGCCAAGATGGTGACAGTAGGCATGGTTTTCACTGAGACACACAGGCAGCCATGACTTACGGGATATAAAGGCTGACTCCCAAGTCTGGCTTGGACTTCTGATGACAATGCTCCCTCGCCGCCACCACTCAAGGAGACAACATAGAAAAGTCAAGGAGGAAGGGAAGAGCATCGATCCAGCTTTGAATGTGTTGAATTTAACACACTTGAGTTACCTAACAGACTCCCAGCAGAAAGTTAACATATGAGGTTGAGTGACGAGGTCTGAATGGGAGCTGGAAACTTAAGTTGGCAAAACATTAGCGACACTTGGAATTATGGGTGAAGAGGCAGGTTTTCTGGGGTTTTGTTTGTTTTCCTTTAGCCATTCTAGTAAGTGTGCAGTGGCAGCTCACTGTGGTTTAAGTTTTATTTCCCTAATGTCTAATGATGTTTAGCATCCTTTTAAATGCTTATTTGCTATTTGTGTATCTTCTTTGGTGTCTTTTGCCCATTAAAAAAAACTGAGTTATTTTCTTATTTTTGCAGAGTGTTCTTTGTAAGTTATTGACACAATTCCTTTAGCACATACATGCTTTGCACATATTTCCTCCAAGGATGGGGCTTCTGAAAAGTATACATTTTCATTTCATTGAACTCAAAGGAATCAGTTTTTTTCTCTTTTTCATCATACTTTTGGTGTCATTGAAACTTCTGCCTAAATAAGGTCACATATATCTTCCCCTGAGCTTTCTTCTGGTACAGTTTAGGCCTTTCCAAGACGCCTATGATCCATGTCGAGCTTGTGTATGTGCGCGCAAGGAATCCATCAGCCCAAAGAGAGGAGACAGGCCCGCTAAAGGGTGCCTGGACAGAGAAGTGCGAGAGGTGGACGCAACCGGGAAAAGCCGAGATTTAAGGACGTGAAGTCCCGCAAGGGACATATGCCCCTGAGGGGATGCCCCAGTAAGGTTCCGAAAAGGCAACCGTGTCGGCTGAGACTCGCCAGATACCAGGCTTTCCAACCTGGCGAGGCCACCGGCGATCTTGTGTCTTCAGTCCACGCAAACCTTCCCAGGATCGAGGCTGCAGGGCACCGGCCACTTGACAGGGAGCCCCCCGGGGAAGCCCTTGGGGGGCTCTCAACACCAGCAAAGGTCATCCTTCAGGCGCAGGGCGTCTGGGTCCCCGACCCTGAGAATGATGCTCCGGCAGGAGGTCTTGGGGACGAAGCCGAGGGTTTTACCTGCCAGGCCTGCTAGCCCGACGCCCCACCGGGGTCGCCGGGTCCACCCAGGCACGCAAGAAAAGTGCCTCTCATCAGCGACCCCTCTCGGGGCCGAGACCGCCCCCACCCCCTCGACGCGCTCCGGGCCAGGAGCGACTGCACTCACCCGGGCCCGGATGGGATGTCTCAGCCCCAAATCTGGGGGCTCGCGGCACGCCCGCTCCTTCCCCTGAGGCCATGCTAGGAACGACCGACTCCTGCCGGCGGATGAGTTCACCTCCCTGCCACGGAGGCCCGAGAACCTCTCCTGACCAGCGGAGCGGGGGTGGTGTCAGCCCAGGAGCCGGCAAGAGCAGCACTACCGCCAGTCGTAAAGTACAGTAAAGACGCCGGCGCTTAGCGGCACCGTAGGTGAGGCCGGCGGGCCATTCATGACCAGTAGAGCCGAGGTCGGGTCGCCCCAGCCCAGGAGCCGACAAGCGCAGCGCTCCCGCCAGTCGTAAAGTGCGGTAAAGGCCTCGGCGACTTGCGGCACCACAGGTGAGGCCGGTGGGCCATTCAGGACCAGTGAAGCTTGGGTTGGGTCGCCCTGGCCCAGGAGCCGGCGAGCGTAGCGCTCCCGCCAGTCGTAAAGTGCGGTAAAGACGCTAGCGCTTTGCAGCAACGTCAGTGAGGCTGGAGAGTCATTCATGACCAGTGGGGCAGGGGTCTGGTCGCCTCAACCCAGGAGCCGAGAAGCGCAGCGCTCCCGCCAGTCGTAAAGTGAGGTAAAGACGCCGGTGCTTTGCGGCACTACAGGTGAGGCGCGAGGCGTGGTACCTGCCCGGCCCGAATTCGGCGCCACCGCGTCTGCTTCTGCGCCGAGGTGGCAGCTGGGAACCCGGGGAGGACTGGGAGCCACTACGCTTCTCCCGGCGGGTAATTGGTTATTCCTAGATGTGTGTGACAAGAGACAAAATTGGTAGGGTTGTTTAAAACTCTTATTCCAGCCGGGCGCAGAGGCTCACGCCTGTAATCTCAACAATTAGGGAGGCCGAGGCGGGAGGATCGCTTGAGACCAGGAATTCGAAACCCGCCTGGGTAACATAGCAAGACCTTGTCTCTAAAAAAAAAATTAAAAAAACTTAGCTGGGCTGGTGGTGCGCACCTGTAGCCCCAGCTACTTGGAAGGTTGAGGCGGAAGGATCACTTGAGCCCAGGAGGTCACACTTGCCTTGAGCCGGGGTCGCGCCACTGCACCCCAAACTTGAGCGACAGGGTGAGACTCCGACTGAAAACAAAACAAAAACCAAACATTTATTCCAGCCCTTGTTTGAGCGTGACGCAGTTCCCAGACCTCACTGATTGTCACATGCCACTTCTCTTGTGCTACTTTGGTTTTCATCTTTGACTTTGTGGGTCCTAGGTGGAGCTGACACTAGTTTTCTTGTCCACTTGGTCCTGCAGTCTCTCTCCCCCTGGAGTTCGCGATGCTCTACCTCATTGGCTTGGGCCTGGGAGATGCCAAGGACATCACGGTCAAGGGCCTGGAAGTTGTCAGACGCTGCAGCCGGGTGTACCTGGAAGCCTACACGTCAGTCCTGTCTGTAGGGAAAGAAGCCTTGGTAGGTGCGGGAACTTCCCTGGCCTTCTGGGGAGATGCTTTCTAACTTTGGTTCTCCTACACTGAGCTGAGCAGGATTTTCAGGTCTGCTCGTTTAAACCCTCTGAAACATTCCCTGTTCATTAAGGGTCTGGGGAGCGGGAGAATGGAAATCGTACTCCATCCAAGTGACTTGGGAAATGAAAGAGTGCTTTGTCCTGCTCTACAAGTCTATTTTTGTGACTTTCTGCATAAATAGGAAAGTTATTTTATACTTTTGGGGATCGTTATCAAAATCTCTCATTTCATGAGATAGCCAAGAAATCTTTGAGCTGAGTGCTAACAAGGGCTGACACAGCCTTAATGAGTTGGTGATGTGTGCAGAAACCAAGCTGAGAGTGTACCCCTTTGAAGTATTTCCTTGGGGAATGGTTACTGCCTTTCTGTCTAGATTGTAGCCAGGGAGATCTTAGCTTGAAACCGACATCTCCCGGTGAGGGTTATAGGAGTATTTATTAGTGTATTTTATAATTAACTGGCCCTCATAAGGATCAGTTCATTTGGAAGGGTCAAGTTCAGGTTCATTGTCAAATGCCAAGTAGAATGCAGACTAAAGTCAGAAGGTTAATGGAACTTGTTATAGAAGGAGGGAGTCCGTTTTTAGAATTGTCTTTTATGTATCGTGTCTTCTAAACAAAAAAGCAACTTAAGATTTCTAGGTCTTCTGTATACTCGGATTTGCAATTCTAAAGGTCTCAGAGTCTCAGATTTACTTCAGAATCTTGAAGAAGAAGTTAACTGCTTCTCAGATTGGCCATGCATTTAAATAGGAGTTGTGTCTAAAGACCAGCTTTGATTTTTTTCTGCTCTCATTTTTGTCACTCTTTGACACTCCGGATCACTGAACTTAAAAGCATCTAAGACAATAGAGACAAACAACTGTTTTGTAGACTAAGGTGTCAGCATGGCATAGAGGAAAGTTTGGATTTGGTTTTATCTTTGTTCGGATACATTAGTGTGACATTGGGCAAAGGGTGAAAACCTCCTGCTTTATATTTTTAACATAGTGTTCATAAAAAGGGTTCAGAAATGTTAGTTGTCAGTGGCCACATTTCCAGACTTCTCTGAGCCTCAGTTACTTTGTTTGTCAAATGGAGACTAATGTAGAGTTTTATTAAGATGATGCATGTGAAAGTGCTTTGTACGTGTTAAGAGCTAGCTAAATGTTAACTTTAATTGCTATAATTTGTTAATGTAGTTTTTTCCAAAAACATGAGTTATCACTTACAGAGTTAAGAGCTAGGGCTTGGCCCAACCTCCCCTACAGGTACCTTATGTAGAATATCTACTGACATTTGTAGAACACTTACTGTGCACTGTTTTAAGTGCTTTAAATGTTGATTAGGATTACTAATCTGTAATCACCTTTCACATTTTATAGGCCTAGAGAAGTTAACAAACTTGCCCAGGTTTATACAGATAGTGAGTGACAGAGTCAGGATGTGAACCAAAGCAGTTCTAAATTGAGGCCTGCCATTCTTGACCTCTATGTTACTCTGTTTATTTTTAAGGATAGATAACAGCTACACATAGCTAACTTCATAGAACACCTACAGAGGAGCACTTCGGGAGGCCGAGGCAGGAAGATTGCTTGAGCTCAGAAGTTTAAGACCAGCCTTGGCAATATAGCGAGACTTTGTCTCTACACAAAAATTTTTTTTAATGTTCTGGGCATGGTGGTACATACCTGTAGTCACAGCTACTCGGGAGAATTACCTGATTCCAGGAGGTCAGGGCTGTGGTGAGCCATGACCATGCCACTGCACTCTGCCAGGGCCACAGAGTGAGACCCTGACTCAAATAAAAAATTGTCATTGAGGACTTCTGTAACATTTGTCTTATGATATGCAGAGAAAAGGAAGGGATCTTATTTTATATTTTAGGAACAGATTCAAGTTATTATAAAGAGAGAATATCAGAGTTGAATCTAAAGCATTTATCTTCAGATGCTTAGTAAGTTGTTCATTTACTCATTTTGTTTGACAGACATATCCACTACAGCAATCCTCACAGCTTTTAATAAGTCCCACGGACTCCTCAGTGGGTAAGAAGCAGTATTATTTATCCATGCATCCACCTTTACTCCATTTGAGTTACATGTTACTCCGCAAGAAATCAGTTACAGGATTCATGGTCTTGCAAAATAGCTTATAACTTCTATCATATGACTGCCCGCTTACAAGCTCACTCCCCACCATCAGATCTGTGCTCTAGCACTGAACTGCAGGGGATTGATTCTCAAAGCAGTTTGTATGGAAACTTCTTATATATTTAGATTTTAGCTTTTTCTCCTTCAACTTAGCCTTTTTAGTAGGAACTAGAGAATACCATTCTAAATTAGTCTTTTTGGCAATTATCATATTAATGTTCGCTGGTTATGTAGACAGCTAAATCTTAATTTTCTACTTTTATTTCTCATTGATGTTGCCTTTTATTTCAGCTGAGATACTATGTATTTTGCCATAGAAAATTTAATAAAACTTTTATAAATTTTATAAACTGTTTATACTTATTGTTTGGTATGCTTATTTTGTATTATATGTCTGAAGTAGGGCTCATGCATACATATTCTCTGTTCATCCTACAATGTTCTATATTAGAACCAAATTTAGAGGTAAATTTAAAATGCAAAAAGCTTCAGACATTAAGTGGTCCATTTCCCTCGGGACATCGAGACAGCCCCAAAGACAGGGTTTAATTGCAACATGATACAGAGGGCTAGCTCATTGATGAGTTGTGTTCAGTGATCTGTGTTTGGATGGTTGTCAAGATTTGCACAGCCCCATACAAAGTTTGGGGTGTGTGTGTGTGTGTGTGTGTGTGAGAGAGAGAGAGAGAGTGAGAGAGAGAAGGTCACCTGTGGCTCTCATTTTGATATTGGACTTAAATCTGCAGGAAGAGTTTTATGGAAGAAAATTGATTCTTGCTGATAGAGAAGAAGTGGAACAAGAAGCAGATAATATTTTAAAGGATGCTGATATTAGTGATGTTGCATTCCTTGTGGTTGGTGATCCGTTTGGGTGAGTCAAAGCAGATATTCTGAATTTTCAACTCAATTTTTTTTAATGAGTAAGAATTACTCTGTTAAATTCATAACTTTTACCTGGTAGGTCCTGCTAAGGGAATCTATTTACCTAAAGCTCTATATGAAATTGAGATTAATGAAGAAAATCTATTTGGTGAATATATCATCATATGTATGAGAGGGACCCCACAAACCCAGAATTTATTTATAAGAATTGTGTATTCTTCCACATTTAATCTTCATTCACCTTCAAAGTACTCTCTTTTTGATGCAATACACCACTTCTGGAATGTAGCAGTGGTAAAAGATGATTACATTATCACATGTCATTTTTGAAATATCTCATGTTTAGCAGTAGGCAGCCTGCGCTCCCATTAACAGATTTTGCTGCTTAAACTAATAGCATGTTTAAATTAAATTAAAATAAATAGATGCAAACATATATATGAGTATATACAAAAATATATATTTGGGTAAATATGAGAGATCCAAATAAACCTGGAATTTATTTATTAAAAATTGTGTATTTATTCTTACATATTTAAACTTCAATCACCTTTAAAGTACTCTCCATTTGATGCAGCACATCTATCGAGATACTTTTTCCACTGCTCAAAACAGTTTTTAAACTTGTCAGTTTTGATGGCTTCTAGTGCTTCCATCGTTTTTTGTTTCATCTCTTCCACATTGGCAAAATATTTCTCTTTGAGGACTTTTTATCCAGAGAAACAAGAAAAAGTCACTTGGGGCAAGATCAGGTGAATAGGGAGGGTGGGGCATGGGGGTCATGCTGTTTTCGGTCAAAAACTGCTGAACACTCAGCATGGTGTGGGCAGGTGTACTTGTAAGTCACCCATTGTGAAATGGGCAAATGCATTGAAAGAATCTCCAAAAAAATTCACCAAAGCCAAATGCAGCCTCTCATAGCAACACTAGCTGGTGCACTGATGCTGATGGGTTCCTGGAACACTCACCTAGTGGTGGAAACCTGTACTACAAGGAGCCTGCCCTCCAAAAGATAATTCCAGGTTTTTTGGGGTCCCCTCGTATAACTCCATTGTTAAGTGTCATCTGGAAAGGTAGTGTCATTGCTTCTGTTCCAGCAGTTCATTGGGGGCAGCAGATGCCTTAGCTAGTAGATCACTATTACTAGTAGCTCATTTGTATTTTCCAAAATCATGCTGACCTTTTGCTGCAGATAATTGCAAGCATCTTCGGCTTCTTTGTCCTAGGCTTTTGTTTTCCTTTTAAAATCATCTACTATTTGGCAATACTACTGTCACTTGTCTTGAATTTGATATTTGTCAACCCTTTAATTCGGCTTTTCCTCAAGAAGACGGGCTTCTCCTTGCCTAGTCAAGCGTCATCAAGCTCTCAAGTCCAGCTAACAGAAGGCTTCTTTGTCTATGGCCTGTGACCCAAGATTTATGTCACAGATTTAGGGAACATAGGACAATTAAATCACTATGAGCCCACCACCAAGGATGTTTTTCAAAAGAATGGAGTTATATGTGCATGTATCTGTCAAAAAGAAAGCAATTTATATCAATATGAGGTGCCAGAGATTGTGTACCATTATACTTGATTGCAAATAACATTGGATAATCATTTAAAAATATAGAAGTAGTTTGTTTTACCCTCTGACATTATTGTCTGTAAACTTAAGGTTTCTTAGAGATTAGCAGTACCTATCTTTTTTTAGCCATTGGATAATAAAATAAATTAAGGGAATGAAAAATCCTCTATAGAAAATATCTTGCATAATACTTAAAGAATTTTCGATCACACCGACTCTTTCTGCATAAAACCCAAGATTTCTACAGTGAAACCTTCTCCCACAGTGAAACACCCCAATTTGGTGGTACTGTAGTTCTCACAGTCACTAAATGAGTGATCCCAGAATCACTTTTGACTCTCATGGCATCCAGTAACTGCCAGTGTCCAAAAGCAATAAAAGTGCTCCTCAGAAAGAGGTTAGCAGATGGTGCCAGGTCACAAACTATTACCAGTCCAGAAGAAATAAAAGACAGAAATTGAGAGTTGGCATCTAGAAACCTTTGTAGCCACTTTTAAAAGTGAATTTTATGTCTGTTGAATTTAACAGTAAAAATCGAGGACTTGTATTTTATATTATATTATGTGTTTCTGATATGGTCATGTGTTGCTTAATGACGGTTACACGTTCTAAGAAATGCTGATTTTGTCATTGTGTGACCACCGCAGAGTGTACTTAGACACACTGAGCCAATGTAACCTACTACACACCTTGGCTATCTGTATTGTTTATTGCTCCTAAGTTGTAAACACTGTACAGTATGAATACTATAGGCAATTATAGCACAATGGGAAGTATTTATGTATCTAAACATAACCCAAACATATAAAAGCCTCAGTAAAAGTACTATATAAGCTTAGGGAGCCACTGTCATGTATATAGTTTGTCCTTGACCAAAACGTCATTATGTGGCACTTGACTATAGTTCATTCTTAATGCATCCATGACAATTTAGAGCCTAAAAACCACTGGCCTTCCGCCATAGACAGTTCAAGAGGCACTGCCATCAACTTCTGTTTTACCAAGTTTTTCATTACTTTCCACTCTGGTTCCCACCATTCTCCCCAATTCAAGCTAATACACCCTATACCTGCCTGGTCCATTGACAAACTCTTAACTCCTGCCCACATTGTGGTGAAAGCCAGACTTGAAAAACCACAGTCTGGAAACCTCACCTGGGCTCATCAATGAGAACTTTATTAGCTTTGTCATCAGCCAGACATTAAAACACTACCCAGCTGGCCCTGCCTCCTGTGTCCTGCCACTCTCATAGAGAAGCCCTCCCACTCGCACCAGCCAGGGCTTCCTTCCCTAATCATCCTGCCTTCTCACCTTCCCACCTTTGTTCAGACAACTTCCTTCATCTCAGATGCTTTGACCTGTCCTGACTGTCAGAACCTCCCATCTCTGGAAACCTCGCTCAAGTATCACGTCTCCTTGATGGTATCCCTGGTGACCCCAACATGAAGGGCTATTCCACTTAACTGCTGACGCGTGGCATTCATGCTAGTTTTCATATAGTCCCTCACAACACACTATTTTAAAGTGGTGTACATCTGTCTGCTTCCTTGTAGGCGATCTTTCACACTGTCTCCCTGGCTTCCTTCACAATCCTTGGCATATAGTGAAAGAGTTTGGTGGTTTTTTTGTTTGTTTGTTTGTTTGTTTTGCCTAAGGTCAACAAAGAAAGACCAGGCACGTTATCCATTCCACACATGTCTTTATAATGCCTGTCATGATGGTAACACTTGTGTGCGAAGACAGAGCCTAGGTTTACAGCTGAGTGGGCAGAGGCCAACAGTAATAAAGATACATTTAAATTCTGATAGGCGGTAAAGGAAATACTAGGAACTAATAGGAAGAGACTTACTCATGTAGGTCATGTGGAAATGCCTTTCTGTATCTGAAGAATGAAAAGGAACCGGAGGAGAGAACATTCTAGCAGAGGGAAGCACAAGAATCTGTTGAAGGGACTGAAAGGCCAGGGTGGCTGGAGCATGATGAGTGAGAGAGAGAGGACATGAGAAGCTGGCCCAGAGGTTGGCAGGTGCCAGACCACGTCAGGCCTTGGAGGGACTAGGGCTTCTATTTAAAACACAGTAGTAAACCTTTGGCAGATTTTAAGCAGGAAAAGTCACGATCTTATTAACATTGTTAAAAGATCACTCTAAATGCTTAGGTGAATGGATTTTAGGGAGGCATAGTACCAATATATACAGTGCTTCCAATAGTTCATGAGATCATCATTTTCACTATATCATTGCAAACATCAGTGAAATTTCCAGACTATCAACCATACCTATGTCAAATATGGTGGTACCATAAAATTTAAAGCAAATACCGGGCATGGTGGCTCACGCCTATAATCCCAGCACTTTGGGAGATGGAGGTGAGAGGATTGCCTGAGCTCAGGGGTTCGAGACCAGCCTGAGCTCAGGGGTTCGAGACCAGCCTGGACAACTTGGTGAGACCTCGTCTCTACAGTAAATTAAAAAATTAGCTGGGCATGGTGCCACATATCTGCCTTCCAGGTAGCATTCCAGCTACTTGGAAAGCTGAGGTGGAAGGAACTTCCTGAACCCAGCAGATCGAGGTTGCGGTGGCCATGAGCAACCCACTGCACTCCAGCCGGGGTGACAGTGAGACTCCAACTCAAAAAATAAAAATAAAATAAAGCAAACTTTCCAAGTCTTATACACTCAAATTGGTCGCCTTTGTGTACTTTATTTTATTGATTCCATTAATAAAAACATCTTTAGGTCCCCTTTTTTGAAATCGCCTTTAGGACAGTTCCAAGTAACAAGCAAATCTTTAACATAAATATGTTACTATTTTGGGGCATATATACATACATGTTTGTAAGGTTAGATAGAGCCTTATGCCCAGAAATCGTAAATTTGTATGTGTCTGGTCATTTTACAGTACAACTTTAAACCAGTTTTTCTTTTTCATCTATTTAAATGACTTACCATGTAACTAATTCAGTTTTCCTTATTCTTAATGCTAAATAGTGAGAGTCTGTTGAAGATGATATTAGAGACATTCTTTACAATTAGCATTCATGTTGTTTTTTAAAAACTTACTCTAAATCAAGTTAATGATTATTTTTCATACTAGTCTTTATTTTATGTGTGTGATTAAAAGCCAGTTTCCCTGGTGGGCGTTTGCTAATGTGCATGTGACCACCTCATGGGTGAAAGCCCTGATCTTCTGCTTGGTGTGCACTGGCCAGTTCTTCTGTTTGTTCGTATGTAGTTTCTCAAACATGCTATTGTTGGTTTTCCCAGTAGGACCTGAAATTTTTACCAACAGAGAAAAGGGACTTTAAAATGCAGTTTTGAATTGATGGGATACATTTAACAGTGTCCACATTCATACTGACCTCTGTTTTCTCTCTAGCCCAATCTGACTAATTATAGTCAGGAGATTTATCTTAAAAA